TTTCATAGCTTGCGAATCATTTATTGCACGCTTCATGGCCTAGGACGTCATCTTAACCGTCCGAAGACAACATTCATGGTCTGGCGGGAATTTGCATCATGTCTAAGTTTACGCACAATATATGCTTGTATTACTTATTTGCAGGTAAACCGGCAAGCAACAGCTGTCCCGGCAGGAGCATTTCCGCTCCAGTGCCCACAGCCACATCAGACCTGACTACTCCCGTAAGCCTTTCACTCACCCTGACCGAAACATTACGTTCGTTCTTGGAAAGTACGTGTCGGCATACTCCGCCGAGGGATCCCGAACTACATACGGCCTGATTCCTGTAAGACCAGGGATATATAGGCAGCTCAGAAACCCGGGTGCGGCCTATCTTCTTCAAACCGTTTCGTTCGGTCATAATTTGGCCATCATATCTTTACCCGATAACTCTTTCATCCTTTGCGGGTAAAGAGGGGCAGTTGTTGATACCCAATTTTTCCCTATGTATATTTTTTATGCAAAGTACTTTCAAAAATAGCATATATATGCATATATAAGCATCTCCAAGTGTTTCCCTATTTTTTCCTTAATTTAAAAGATTATTAAATCGATTTATCCCCCTATTTTATCCATAACAATCCCATAATTATTTCTAAAATTATTAGTTGTGATGATTTATTTATTGGATCTTTATGTTTATGCTAAAACATAGTTAAGGGATTTTTTTGCTATATTTTTACAAAATATTTAGTATTTTTAAGGCTAAAATTGTATAATTGCAATATTAGCCCCTTTTTAGATTTAACTGTGTTTTATATTCACAAAATTAGGTCTGGTATTTTTAAATAATTAATTATGTACTATAAATCATTTTAGTACCATTAATTTATTTTCAGAAATTATTTTATTATTTTTTATAAATCAAATAGGAAAATTGGCTATTTAAATGTTAGCCCCATTTTATTTCGATTGTAGCCTAAATTGGACCCCAATTTGAATCCCAATTACCCTGGCCCAATTCCTATTAAACCCCGACCTAATTCCGATTTAATCTGACCCAAACCCATCTTCATGACCCGTCCATTTACCTGATCAATCCAAGCCGTTGATCCTTCTTGATCAACTGCCAGAAATCCCCCTTACCTAAATTAATCCTAAATGACTCCCCAAACCCTACCATTTCCCACCATACGCCGCCTCTGAATTCCCCTCATCTCTCAACTCCTCTCTACAACAACCCCAAACCCTAGCCGCCGCCACCTTAATCTACCCTAATCCATTGCTCTCCGAGATCATCTAAGACCTGTATCAGCCTCCCATGGCTTCTACGTGTTCGTTTCTATGGTCTCATGACCAGACTCTGAAGGGGTTCGGCCCAGTCCTTGCTCGACGACCTTTCTCCGATCATCTCTGACTTTTCTCCGGCCAGCCATGGCCATTCGAGTTAGACCTTTGACTCTCATGCTTAGATCGATGGCTTTCAAGGCCTTTCTCGTCACTTGGGGTTCTTCTGAAACCCTAATCTCTAAGGTTTTTTCGACTTCTTTCAGGTTCACTTTAGATCAATGCTTGCTATGAGTTTTTAAACGCCTTCTCGAGGTCTCTTTAATTTTTCTTTCAGAAAAAGGACTCTTCATCTTTTTCCGATTAAGGTTTTTCTTCAAGTTCTTCTTTCAAAATATTTTCTGAGTTTAGCATGATAAAAACCCTAATTTCTTTTAGGGTTTCTGAGACTATCCGTTAGTGATTGTCTGATCTATTTGTTTATCATCTCTAGACTCGATTGGTGTTGAAAACCCTAATTTCTTTGGGTTCATTCGAGTTCCTTTGACTATTTGTTAGATATTGTCTGATCTATTTGTTCATCATCTTTAAACTCGATCGATGTTGAAAAAACCTAATTTCTTTTGGGTCTATTCGAGTTTCTAAACTGCTTATTTGTTTATAATCTTTTAAGCTTGAATATTGTTTAGGAAAACCTATGTCTTTGAGTTGAAACTGCTCGTTTAAATGCCTGACTTGATTTGAAGTTCCTTGTTTCAGCATCTCTTTCCCTTATATATGATTCCTCTGATTCTGGGTTCTTACTATCTTTGAAACTCGACTATGCTGTGAGACCCTTTGCATGCTCCTGACACTCTATTTTTTTTCTTACTACTGATTCAATGAGACCTGACTTACTTGACTATCATGCTCTGGATATTTGCTATCTACTGACTTTGTACTACTATTGCATGTTGTTTCTTTTTGCTAATAGCTTGGCCTCGCATGTCTTTTGTTTATGCATTCTATTTATATGCTAAGGTTCCTTCTTTGACCGATGCTCAATTTTGGGACTGGTTTCAAAACTTCCCTTTTTGTGAACTCTAATTTTGCTCGCCTATTAAAGTGATCAATCCCTTTCCTTACTTATTGCCTTGCTGAATCTTTTTCCCAAAAAAAAACAAGTGTATCTCTATACTTGAACTCGATTGTGTACTTATTGTTTTACTACTTTCTTTTATGGTAATAATCAGTCTGCCTACAAACTGATCTTTCTTTCCTTCTTTTGAACCTGTTAGCCCCGTTAAACAAGTAATTCCTCAATTAAAGGGGAATCACTTGGTTGATTGATTCTGATTGCTGATTACTTCCATATTTGCACTAAACTTTATTTATTGCCTTATTTCTCACATGTTTTCAAAATTATAAATACCCACCTCCTCTTCTTGCAAAAAAACAAAGATAAGGCATAAAAACACTTGAGTTCAGACACACACACACTCCACTAAAATCTCTTTCTTTTCTCTGTTGCTACTTGTATTGCTGCCTTACCTAGCCGGCTGAAAGCCAAGGCTAGGCTGTGGGAAGCTTGCTCATTTTTCTCTGCATTTGCATCTTGACTGGTATGTTCTAACTAATTTTCAGCATCAGCAACAACATGTTTCTTTACTGTTTCTTTCATCCTTGTTTATCTCTTATTTGTATTTAACCAAGTTCCATTATTATGCATGCTGTATTCTGCCTTTTCTGTTCTGAATTAATGCTTCTGTCAATTACTTATCATGGCTTGTGAACCCTAAATCCCCATCCCCAATGTGTTTGGTATCTGTGGTTGGTTTGGGTCATGACACCATTGAACATTGCTGTGCATGACCCAAACTTGATCCCCCTGGGATCATAACCTCCATGGCTCCTCTAGTTGTTGTGTGTTCTGATTGGCTTATTGGCATGCCAACACCTTCTATTGCTGTGCATGCCTAAAGCCGACCCCTGCCTAAGTACATAGGCTCCTTGCAATGGATTCCCAACCCTGACCCCCTTTGTATGAAGTTATTAACTCTGTGTTTTACTAATTACTGTTTCCCTATCACCCTTTACCCCTCTCCTTTATCCCCTCAGTTTTAAAACTCTATTCCTGCACTTCCACTATCTTCTTAGTCTTAAGTTCTGCCCCTCTTGTGTGAGCCTTGCCTTGGGACCCATGAGCTCCCTCTGAACTTGGACACATAAGGGCTGGCCCTTCCACACTGCACTCATCCCTATCTGGTTCTATGAACCTAGGTGTAAGCACTGCCCGGGGCCCTTTGAGACCCTTAGGGAACTCTGACATACCCAGGTCCGAGAAAGGCTTTGAAACAAGTGGTATTTGAGACATTTTGTTCCATAACTCAGAGAGGAAGTCAGAATCAGGCTTCCTATGGTTGTGCTTTCCTATTTTTACATATTTTCTTGATATAATGCACTATTACTGGTCTGTAATAATTTGTAATAAACATTTGGGGTTGGCTAGTGAAAAAGGGATGGGCAATTATGCATGCTCAATGGTAGAAAATATGCCTATAGGATTTGTGTTTTGAATGATTCAATTCTGCATTTTAGAAAGCATGCCTATAGGACTGGTTTTAAACCCTGTGTGTTCAATTCTGCATTTAGACACCATGTCTATAGGATTCATTTCCAATTCCGCATGTTCAATTTCACACCTAGATAACCTGCCTATAGGACTTTATTTTAAATTCTGCACGCTTGTTACTATTTAGATATCGTGCTCTAGGATCTAAACGGCTATAAGCAGGTATCATCTTCATAATGTTAAAATCAGTATAATGTATAGAAATCACGCCTATAGGAATTCCCAAGTAAAAATCCTGCCTGTTTCCGTTTCATGTTCGACTAGATATCATGTCTATAGGATTTAAAATCAGCAACACTAGATATCATGTCTATAGGAGTTAAAACCAGTAATAATGGATATCAGAATCTGAAACTACTCTAATTTAAAATTAGTCTATTCTGAACCAGTTTATTAAGTAACTTAATCTCCCTATTTAACATGGTTTAGCAAGCATGCCTATAGGATTTCAAACCGCTCGTTTTTTTAGTTTATTACTGCTTTGCCTCATTCTGAATCAGTAATAGATACCATGCTCATAAGATTCTACCCCAAACACTTAGGCAAACCTTAGGTAATAATGATAAATGAAGCTGAACCCGTTTCTGTTAATTAATAATTGCTACAACCAGTAGACAGGCCTGATTCGGACTTCTTATCTGAGTTATGTAATAAATTGGTCTGCTTCAATAACTCAATCTCCCGTTTTGCCTTAATATTTTCAGACTCTGCTTGTTATTTGAGTCATGCTATTTGATTGCTTTGTTTGAGGAGGTATATATGAGCCTTCATTGTTTATGTGCTTCCCCTGTTATTGTGTTGTCCTATATGTTTTGTATGTCGCTTTAGATTTTTTCACCTTTGAAACTCCAAGTCAGCCTAATATCCCTCCCTTTTAGGAATAGTAGTCCTAAGTGCCTCTGGGACTGATAGGAATGGGGCGGGTAATAACATGCAATAGTGGCCGAGACCAATTCGCACTTTAGTACCTTAACGGGGTGGGAAGAGTAGATATGGATATGATGACCGGTGCGCTAATACCACGTGTAGCCCCTCTTTTGAGGAGTGATTACCGGGTATTTCGTTGATGTGATCCATATTATAAATAAACCTAGGACCCCCTTTCCCTCTCTTTCTTTGCCTTTAAAGTATTATGACTTTTTTTTTTTTCAAAAAATCAGCTTTTTAATGATTTCTCTATTTTACTTCCAAGCATTTGTGTATTAAAATCCCCTCTTATTTGAGCCTTATCTGCTTGCATGTTAATTGCACCAAATTCACAAAGAATTGTCTGGCCGGGAATCACACTAGTGGATCCTGTGGGGTGCCTAACACCTTCCCCTTAGGATAATTTCAA